TTCGAGAACAAGCAATTAAGATCAAAGATTGAAAAATTAGAAATTGAGGGTTGTAGAACTAGACCCACTCATGCTTATGACAACTACAATCACCATGGTAGAAATAGGTTTCGTGGTTCTAACATTCGTACATACAAAAGAAATTTTGTATGCACCTATTGTATGAGACATGGACACATTTCTACTCATTGTAGAATTAAAGATAACCATGATTTTTATGGATTGATATGGGTACCCAAAGGTACCAAGACTACTAACCACCAAGGACCCAAGACATGGGTACCTAAAGCTACTACACCTTCATCTTCTTCTTTTGTAGGGAACGTCACGGCAACGACGTAAGGAGATGTGGTACCTTGATAGTGGTTGCTCACATCATATGACGGGCAACAAAGAGTTATTTGCAACCCTATCAAGGATTGAAGGAGGCAATGTCTCCTTCGGTGGTGGTGAGAAAGGTAAAATCATTGGTATCGGGTCTATTGGTAAGAAACCCTCACCCACAATTGAAGATGTTTATTTAGTAAGTGGTTTGAATCATAATCTTCTTAGCATTAGCTAATTGAGTGATAAAGGTTTTGATATTTCTTTTAAACCGGATAAATGCATCATTAGTATGGATGGAAATATTGTTTTTATTGCAAATCGCAAGTCTAATGTTTACATTTTTGAGATGAATGAGTTAGTGTATCAAGATGTAAAGTGTTTTGCGGCAATTGATGTAAATCCTTGGATTTGGCACAAGAGACTTGGACATGCAAATATGGAGTTAATATCAAAATTGTCTAAGAAGAATCTTGTGAAAGGGCTACCTAACTTGCACTTCATAAAAGATACAATTTGTGAGGATTGTGCCAAAGGTAAACAAACGAAATCTTCTTTCAAATCCATTCATGAGGTATCGACTTCTAAACCTTTGCAATTACTTCATCTTGATTTGTTTGGTCCTATGCGTGTTACCTCTCTAGGAGGCAAACACTATGTTTTTGTGATTATTGATGATTTCTCTCATTTTACATGGACAATATTTCTTGTAAATAAAAATGATTGTTTTGAAGAATTTTCTAATCATGTCAAACGAATTGAAATTGAAAAAAGATTTGAAAGTTGTGAAAATTAGAAGTGATCATGGAGGTGAATTTCAAAATGAATTTTTCCATGATTTTTGTGCTCATTATGGTATAACTCACATGTTTTCCGCTCCTAGAACACCATAACAAAATGGTGTTGTTGAACGGAAAAATCGCACCATACAAGAGATGGCACGCACTATGCTAAATTCATTTGATTTGCCAAAATATTTTTGGGCGGAAGCCGTCAATTCGACTTGCCATGTTTTAAATCGTGTTTTGATTAGACCAAAGCTTAAGAAAACTCCTTATGAACTTTTTTTATGGTAAAACTCCTTTTATTGGTTATTTTCGTATCTTTGGGTGCAAATGTTTTATTTTAAATACAAAAGATCACTATGATAAATTTGATTCCAAAATTGATGTTGGTATTTTCTTAGGTTATGCATCTCGAAGTAAGGCTTATAGGGTCTTCAATAAACGAAGTCTCGTTGTTGAAGAATCTATAAACGTTACTTTTGATGAGACTGATATTGGCTCTCAAGTTGTTTTGCCTAGGAAAGATGATGATGATGATGTTGAAGGAGGATTGGACTTTTTAAAAATCAATGATACTCCCTCTATAGAAGCTCAAAAGGATGTGGATAGCTCCAATGCTCATGAACAAGTTGAACTTCCTAAAGCTTGGAATTAAATTCGCATCAAACCATCCAAAGGAACAAATAATTGGGAACCCTTCACAAGGAGTTGTTACCCCCTCAAAAGCTTTGAGTGAGTGTGGTAATGTTGCTTTCTTATCTCAACTAGAACCTAAAAAGATTAATGATGCTTTAAATGATGAATTTTGGGTTTTGGCTATGCATGAAGAACAAAATAATTTTTAAAGAAATGATGTTTGGAAATTAGTTCCTAGACCTAACAATGCTAGTGTTATTGGTACTAAATGGGTTTTTAGACACAAACTTGATGAACATGGCATTGTCACTAGAAATAAAGCTCGTTTGGTTGCCCAAGGATACAATCAAGAGGAGGGCATAGACTATGATAAAACCTTTGCACCGGTTGCAAGGTTGGAATCCATTAGGATGTTTTTGGCATTTGCTAGCTTTAAAAATTTCAAATTATTTCAAATGGATGTCAAAAGTACTTTTTTGAATGGTTTTATAGAAGAGGAAGTATTTGTTGAGCAACCCCCCGGTTTCATAGATCATGTTTTTCCTAATCATGTTTACCGGGTTCAAAAAACTTTATATGGGTTGAAACATGCTCCTAGAGCTTGGTATGCTCGCCTCTCTAATTTTCTTGTTAAAAATGGCTTTTCAAAAGGAACAATTGATAACACTCTTTTTGTGAGAAAAAGGAAAAATGATTTCATTTTAATTCAAATATATGTTGATGATATCATTTTCGGTGCTACTAATGAATCTTTGTGCAAGGAATTTTGTAAAGTTATGCAAGATCATTTTGAGATGAGTATGATGGGAGAGCTTACATTCTTTCTCGGGCTCCAAATCAAGCAAACTAAGGATGGTCAAAGCAAGTATGCTAAGGAATTGGTGAAGAAATTTAATTTGGAGAATTCTAAGCATGCGCCTACTCCTATGAGTACAAGTGTTAAGCTTGATGCGGATGAAAGTGAGGAGGACGTGGACCAAAAACTATACCGAGGTATGATAGGTAGTCTTCTTTATCTTACCGCTAGTAGACCCGATATCATGTTTAGTGTGTGTGCATGTGCACGTTTTCAAGTATCTCCTAAAGCATCTCATTTAATTGTGGTTAAAAGGATCATTAAGTATGTTAATGGAACTTTTAATCTTGGTTTATTTTATCCAAAAAGCCCCTCTTTTGATTTATATGGTTTTTGTGATGCCGATTTTGCCGGATGTAAGGTAGATCGCAAGAGTACGAGTGGAACATGCCAATTCTTTAGATCGCAAGAGTACGAGTGGAACATGCCAATTCTTAGGAAATTCACTTGTTTCTTGGGCTTCAAAGAAATAAAATTGTGTTGCATTGTCCACTACGGAAGCAGAATACATTACCACCGATTTATGTTGTGCTCAAGTTTTATGGATGAAACAAAGCTTAGTTGACTATGATTTGAATTTTCAAAATATAAAAATCTTTTGTGATAACACAAGTGCTATAAATATTTCCAAAAATTCGGTTTTGCATTCTAGAACCAAGCATATTGATGTGCGCCATCATTTCTTACGCGATCATGTAGAGAGACAAGATGTATCCCTAGTATTTGTTGACACAAAATCTCAACTAGCGGATATATTTACTAAGCCTCTTGGAGAGGATGATTTTTGTCGCATAAGAAATGGTTTGGGCTTATGCACTATGTGAAAGTTCTACATTGCTTGCTTGTTTAGTTGCATCTTGCATTTTGCATTTCTTTCCCCATTTTTTGATGGTGACAAAGGGGGAGAGAAATCTCCTCATTTGTTGCATATACTTAGGGGGAGCTCATAGATAGGAAGAGCACCTATCTATAAGCTATCTTTATTTTTTGCTATTATATAATGGTTGGTTGTCATCATCAAAAAGGGGGAGATTGTTAGCCCTTATGTTTTGATGATGTTTTACAACCACCATTATCGGTACTAATGGCTTATTAAGTACAAATATAGTGAATTCATATATCAAGCTTTTTAGTGTCACTAATGGAGGATTGGATGAAATATGCGCTACAACGATGATATCCAAAGGAGGAGGAGGCATAGTGATGAAGCAACGTTATTTCAAGAACAACAAATTCAAATAAAAGCTTCATCCAACTCAAGCTATATCAAGACTCAAGAATTGCATTCTATATGAGGATATTAACTAGTTTTTATTTTTCTCTCTAGTGCTAGAATGTAGGCAAAGAGTTATTAATTTCACTTGAAGCCATTGGGATATCACACACACGTTTTCATATTCATGTTTTTCAGTGTTTTTCATAAAATACTATTTTTTACAAGTATGAGGACCTATCTGCAAAATTCTTTTTCCAAACAGTTTGTTTTTAGTATTAAAAATATTTTACAAAGTTTCGTAATTTTCAGAGGTTAAATAAATATTTTACAAATATTTTAAAGTGAGTCAAAAACAGTTTTTTAGAATGTATCAGAATGCGGTCGACCGCACCGGTCGACCGCACCTGTGTTCATTCGTCAGTGGGCACCAGAGAGGTCGTCGGTCGACCGGTGCGGTCGACCGAAATCTCGATTTTTGGTCGACCGAAGAAGTCTCTGCTCGATTCTCAGTTTCGGATCTGAATCGCGGTCGACCGCAAGTTTTTTCGGTCGACCACCAAAGTTTTCAAACGGTAATTTTTGTACTTTTACGGCGCCGCTCAGTACAGATTTCAGCGACGTTTGTTTCCAGATTTTGGGGGATTAAGGGTATGGGTTTTAACAGTTGTTTTCTTCTATTTAAACTCAACATCTTCTTCTTCCTCAGCGTCCCAGCTTTTGCAAAAACCAGAAACGTTATTTTTACTGAGCAAAATTTTCAAACCTGTTCTTTCTGAGTTCTTGTGTATTTCACTTCCCAGCTTCAGTGTGCTCTTTCTCTTTGCCATAGGGACGTTGTAAAGAGAGAGTCTTACACCATTTCTACTATCTTGAGAGTGTGATCTTGTGTAGATCAATTGTGAGGGAGTGTGATCTAGTGAGATCAACTGTGTAGTGTGAGATCGTGGGGGGATCGCTGTGTAGACGAAGTTCCGGCTTCCAAACCGGGTTGTGTAGTGGATTTCTCCTCGAGAGTGGGGAGCGGGGACGTAGGTCAGCGAACCGAACCTCGTTAACACATCACGCGTCACAGGATAACGATTCCTAACCCTATCTCCTCTATTTTGATTGCATTAGAATATTGTGGTTTGCTTGTCTTAATTTTATTACATAATTATAGCCTCTTGACCCTAATCACCCCCCTCTAGGGTCTAACACTTCCATGCACAATTGCCCTTTCTTCCTTCTCCTCCTCCTTCCTCTCATCGTTCCTCTCGGAGTTTTCTCGCTCTTCGCTTTGCTCCCCCTTCCTCCCAAAGCTTCTTCTTTCCTTCCTCCTAAATCTCTCTCCTCCTCTTTCTTTCTCCTTCCTTCTCCCAAAGCTACCTCCTTCAACCTTCTCCTCATCTTCCCCCTTTCTAAACTCTCTCCTCTTAAACTTCACCACCTTAACAGTTTCTCCACCAAAAATCCTACTCAAAATCTCCCTCATCGAGTCCGGAGCTAAAACCGACGATCTCCCCTGACAAACTCTCTCCTCCTCTTTCCTTCTCCTTCATTCTCCCAAAGCTACCTCCTAATCACACCACACGCTGTTCTATTCATTTTCTTCCAAACCCTCTCATTAATGTCGTCCGGTTTCCCGTCCGACTCTAACGTATCTTTTAAATTTTGCGCGTTGAGCGTATCCAAGACTTCACATCGCCAAAGTCCAAAATTATTAGTGCCATTAAACTTCTCCACGTCTATCTTCATAGAGTGGATATTCAAACTTTGGACGATCTTCACATCGAAAGAACCCTCCACAACTCCTTCTTTCTCAGCCATCTATCTCAAGGTACCAACAACCAATGCAGAACAAACGAAGAATAGATCCAAACTGATAAAGAGAAATTTTTACCTCCAACTAAAACTCTAACAAGAGTCTCCAAAAGATCTCACCCCCCACATGACGGTAGACAAGATCACCAATAATAAAAATCCTACATTTATCACCAAACGAAGTCCTAGACGAACTTCCAAAGAGATCTACTCCTCCAAATAGCCCAAGAATAGCCTGGAACTCTGATACCACTTGTTGGGATTTTTACCCGAGGTCCAAATACAAACGCCGAGAAAGAAGGACAAAATACAATCACAATAATGACACAAACACAAACAACCAATTTTATGTGGTTCGGCAATTTTACCTACGTCCACGGGAGCGACACAATTAATTTCTTATTAATAACAAGAAATTACAAATAAGAGAGAGGATCTCAAACTTGAGATCTCTCAAATAAATAGCAGATGGTTTTAATCTAACATCACCGCTCAAATTCTCTCTCTTAATTACCCCAAATAAACCCCCTATTTAAATTTATCAAACCCCCTCTCCAATTAATGGGAACAGGGACAAATGGGTTCACAAATCGGAGGGAGAACGGACGCCCAAAACCGGAGAGAGAATAAATCTCTTCCTCCGCTGCTCACGCTCTCTCTCCCTCTCTGCTCAAACCGCCGCCGACCAAGGGGTTTTTCTCACATCGCTCTGCCGCTCCAATCGGGCTCGAGAACGAGGGTTTCCCTTTTATAGGGAAACCCTAGGGCGAGCCTCTCCTCCAGCTGGCGTCCACTATTGCAGGTGACCTCAGCGGAGGTGAGTTCTTCTACAATATCATTCTATACGAGAGAAACTCTTCATATATCATATAATAGTCATTATTTTCGATATGTGTGGGCTTCATCTATCATATGATAATCATTATTCTTTGTATATATGGGCACATGTGCAAGCATGATCGCACTTACATAAGAGAAAAGAACACAACATATTTATGGGGGAAAAAAACTAATGGAAGAATATAAAATAAATAACCCATACTTAAAACAATCCTCCAGACTAATGCAAAAATGAAGTAAATATCCACCATATTTCATATGTTATTCACACACACACATATATATAAAGAAAACAACACTTTGTGACTATGCAAGTTACAAACACATTTCAAAGTTATACATGTAGCTTGCATCTCTTTTGATCCCTCTAAAAAGTGCTTTAGACATAAAAAAAAAAGAACATACATCTCTCCAACTATTCATATGCCTCTTATTATGCAAGATCATCCCATGAATCATATGATAGATGAAGCCACATATACGGAGAATAATGACCATCATATGATGAATGTTACATAAGAGAAAAGAACACAACATATTTATGGGGGAAAAAAACTAATGGAAGAATATAAAATAAATAACCCATACTTAAAACAATCCTCCAGACTAATGCAAAAATGAAGTAAATATCCACCATATTTCATATGTTATTCACACACACACATATATATAAAGAAAACAACACTTTGTGACTATGCAAGTTACAAACACATTTCAAAGTTATACATGTAGCTTGCATCTCTTTTGATCCCTCTAAAAAGTGCTTTAGACATAAAAAAAAAAGAACATACATCTCTCCAACTATTCATATGCCTCTTATTATGCAAGATCATCCCATGAATCATATGATAGATGAAGCCACATATACGGAGAATAATGACCATCATATGATGAATGAAAAAAAGGTCGATTTTAAAAAACAAGACTCAGAAAACATACGGGACTACTAGTCCCGTATGTTTAGAGCCAACTTAATCACGGATTAGTGACTTAGAAAACATATGGGACTAGTAGTCTCGTATGTTTTCTGAGTTCATCTCAATGTTTTGTGAAATTTTCTGAGTTCACTAATCCGTGATTAAAACATATGTTTTGCAAAATAGACCTCTTTTTT